AGGAAAGTTTTAAGCCTAGCCTTAAATAATGTTTGGACTTTATTCTCGTGATGTCATGACTTTATTCTTAAAAAACAAACAAAAAAAAAAACAACTAACCTGGTCCTAATACTCCGTCGTAGCTCTATCCAGAACGTTTTAGTTCCGCCTGGTTTGATTTTGTAAAATATCTTCTGATAAGGAACCTTTGGCTCTCCGTTTATTAATCGAAAAAAATAATCCATTTGCAAAATAATCGCTAGCTGCAGCCATAATCGCATTAATTACTCTTAATGATAGAAACTTTTACTTTTAGTATGCTAGCAAGATTATTTGATTGTGAGTCGGGGGAATTTCTGGTAGCAGACGTGCAAACAGGAAGTATCTTACACCTGTAATGTAAGTCACCAAAAATTGATTGCCTTTGGGATTAGGAAGTTTCTTTTTCGTTGAATTAAAGGTCAAAGTTGCAACTTTTATTTCCATTTAAAAAGAATACGTTTTCGGCAGGAATTGTAATTTGATAACATTACAATTTATTGGCTGAAACGCCCTTATTTTCCTCTGATTGGCTACTGGGCCTAGTGGAGCCAGATTAATCAAGGCCTCTGTGTCTTTTTTTTTTTGAAAGCAAAAGACTCTTTACAGGAAACCGCAGGAAAAACCACCTCATTCAATCCTTTCTCTCCTCTCCTTAATGCCCAGAGTCGATCCTAGTTTGTTGACTATTACTCCACCTGCTTGAAGAGAACCACCGGTTCACCGTTTTTGGATTTTTTTAACTTATATTTTAATGAAATGCTTCATGTTATTGGAAAAGCAGCAGCAGTGTTGCCTGGCATAAGGAATCGGTCTGTTTCCTTATAAGAAGCAACCCGACGCACTTCCTGCCAAACATGAATCTGTTCATGATTAACCTTCTAACCACAGATCTGATCACCTACACCTGCTGCCGGCTTATTTCAGGCTCTGCACCGGTGGGACATGATGCCGTAGTCCTATTTTTTAGAGAAAGTCATTCTGACGTTTTCTTCTCCAGGAAATGATGCAGGAAATCGTTCTCTCAGCTGAAATGTCGTTTTTCTTTTCATTAGCTGCAGCTTCTGGCACATGGAGCAGTTTTTGATGCAGATTGATAGCTGCACATAGTTCACCTACTGATTATTTTAATAGTCTATTATATTATATTAATCTAGTGATTATTATTTATTTGTTTATT